TTATTTTTTATCTTTATCTTAAAAAAAATGTTGTACTATAAAAGACGACGTGCGGGGTTCAAACTCAAGATGCCCGCCCGAAAATTCAAGGTTGTCAACCAACACCACCACATCGCTTGATGTGTTTCATTAGCAACTATAATATAACACATATTGAGTCATCTTGCTTGAATGGCTTTTTGTGGGAATTATCCCACATCGAAGGATGAGAGACCCTTTGTTCTCTATAAAGTGCTGTGTACTAGTCATTTAGGCACGCGTATAGAAAAGCGAAGGGGGCATACGCGCGAGGTGAATTGCCACGTGTGGATGGTTTTTAGGTGCCACGTGTCGCTCTCGTGAGGAGGCTACGTGTGAACCCAAAAATTTTCGATGAGACTCGCGATTTACTATTGGGAATCTCCAGGAATCGCCCGGTTCTCTCTGGACACGGGCGATTCCCGATTTTTTGGTGGAACCGGCTCGGTAGCCGACGATTCCCTAGTCGAAACGGGCGAGTCCGGCTCGACTCGGCGAGTTTTCAAATACTGTATGAAAGTATATGTCGGGTCACACACTAAAAACACCATAAAAACTTGCTGGAAATTTATAAACCTAATAATCCACAGGCTCAAAACAGCAGCAGATAACACACATAATAACTTCTCAATCAACTATAGGGAGAACACTTGCCTGTTTAAAAGCTAATGCACAAAGTTCTTTCTACTGTAACGCTAGATGAAAGCTTAAAACAAGTCGATCACAACTTCTGAAACAAACCTTGTAGCATTTCACACTTGTTGCTCTCAGCTTTTCACATCCATGAGGAACCTTTCAATGACACGAACATGCACAGCACAAGAGGCCACCATGTTGGCCTCACTCACACAGAGAAAGGAATATTTCTTGACGAAATCAGCGCTAACAGAACAAGGGTTTTCCACCTCTGCCTTTTTTTTTTATTTTAAGAAGTTAGATATTTCTTTAAAGAAGAGAGAAGACAATAAGCAGATCACTGCTCTGATACCATGTGAACAGTAATTGTGAACAGTACCATAAATAGTACCATGAACAGTAAAAAGTGTCAAAAGAGAGTGAGAAAGGAAAAAGAAGAGGAAAAGAAAGAGAGAAAAGATGAAAGAGGAGAGGAGAGAGTGACATGAGATTCAGTCACCCATGCCCCACTAATATCTTAGTTTATGCTGTTTGTGTAGCGTCTACAAAGGACAAAAATACCCTAACTAAAATAAGTATCGTAATATATATTAAAATGAAAGAAATGTTCCAATATACAAAACAAGTTATTCATGAATAGAGACAAACTTGAGAACTTGCATATTTCATTTGCTTGAGAAATTACTTTGTGGGTTTTGTTCGAGAAGTTACATCTTTCACTTGCTTTTCATATTTTCTTCTGCATTACTTCCAAATGCACTTGGTTTCAGCTTGTGATGAATTTTATGTTGGTGCCCTAGCTACATTTGCAGTGGACCAAAACAACCACTTGGAGCTGCCACTTACTTTTATCATATTTCGAAGGCTCTTCCTCTTCTCCTTGTACTGGTTGACTAGTGCTCCCGCGTTGCTCCTTGGAGAAATCTGGGTCATATGCTTATATCTGACCAGCAGCACTTAAAACAGCTGGGATTCCATCTAAGGTTACTACAGTTCCTTCTACTCCCAACAAGTTTCTTGAAAAATCATTGGCATATTTTTAAATCTCCTCCCTTCATGATCCCGTGAAGCATTTCTGACATTTGACTTGACAAAACTGTGGTTCAAAAGGCCAGATTTATGGTCTAACCAGATATCCAAATCGACATGCTAGGTGACCGTGTCACTTTGTGGAGTGCTGCTTGAGTGTTCGACTATGTAATATTCAGGAAGCAGTGGACCTTTTCTTCGGCACATCATGAATTAGACTCATATTATAGCCACCAATTCTCCAATACGTTCACAATTTGTACTAGGATATTTTTTATTATGCCCAAATTTAGAATGCAGTTCATGCTGCGTGACTGGGTTGTAATTGTTCTCGGATATGTCGATCTTCTCATGCCATTCTTGAACTTCTTCATAATTAGAGCGATATCCCGTACTAGTTCCCACCATGTCAATTGCCCACGGCTTTAGTTACTTGCCTTTCCTTTATGGTACCTCCTGCAAATGTTCCTCCACCCCCACGTTTCTTTCATAACTTTGCATTCTGAATGTGATAAAGTGGCTTTGCTTCTGGGATTCAGATCCTCATACAATTCAACACCTCTCTTGGCATTCTTGAAATCCCTATTCACATTAGTTTCCTTTACTTGCATATGTAATACATGTTTTGAGCTTCTTGGTGTATTGAATACCCACTTTGAAAATCTCTCAACTAGGCATGAACTCACAACCAGTTAATGCCTGGAATCTTGTCCGCAATCAGGATAATACCCCTTGCATATGCATGATGTTTGGTCTTGGTCTTGGATGTCACAGCTCAATCAATTTCCAATTGAGACCAAGATATTCATTCCGGTTGGCCCTTAACTGTTGAACCTCCTTGATCAAGCGTGCATCATACTTTTAGAAAATATAACTCCCGGGTCTCAGGTTTGTGACAACTCATAAACAGATGGAGGTCGACAACTCAATAGTATCAATTTGTCTTACAGCAAGAAAGTGGCTATGCTAACTCATTCTATACTAAACGCCATTTCTTGGGTATGAAGTATGAAGATGGATACATTCAATTTTCTAGTGTTCGATGTTTCCGTTTGATTAGGTGGCTGATTTGATCATTGCCGCCAGAGAATAGGCCTGAAAGGATGTCTTATATACCTTGCTATTACATGCTTGAAAGTTTTGTTGCTTAATTTGTCCTTGTGCCTCTGTCATTATCTTTCTCAAAGCTCCTATGTTCTTTTGTACAGCTCTGTTATGCTGCGAAGACTTGGTATGGCAGTTTTGTGGGCATGATGATCTTTGGAGCGAGTGAAGTGAGCAGAAATGTTGACTTTGGGGATGAAACAACTACAATGATGTGCAAGTTCATTGTGCGAGCCTCAGATGCTTCAATCACAAAAGAGATTGGAGCCGATTTGCAAGGTTGGCTTGATGATTTAACTGATGGAGGAGTGGAATACATGGCCGAGGATGAAGTGAAAATCGCAGCAGCTGAGAAATTAAGGATCTCAATGGAACGAATAGCTCTTCTTAAAGCTGCTAAACCAAAATCCCAACCCCCAAAAGATGAGGACAAGGAAGACCATGAAGAAGAAGAAGAAGCCAAGGAGCCTTCAACTCTATCTAAACTGACAGTCGAAGAGGCAGAGCACCGGGCTCTTCAGGCAGCAGTGCTGCAAGAGTGGCATATGTTGCGCAAAGAAAAGGCAACCAAATGAACAGCTTATTTGTTGTTCAAACATCTCTCTTCCCTATACCCATCTCTCTCCCCCCTCTATCTCTCCAAATACGATGTCATATAGAGTACATGACTTTTAATGCGGCGTGTCCTTAGCTTTTTGTGTAAGTAAATGGGATTGGCATAATTGGTACGACTTTCAAGTGAGGCGTGTTCTCAGTTTTTTGTAGGATTGTGATTGGTTATTTTCTCTCACTTAGCTAGAGCAACTGGTGATCTTTTCTTGGGTGCAATTCGCCACGGGCTGTGTGGCATAAACTTCTCGGCTCTTTGGAATGATATTGAGATAATCATTGATTATATTATTCTTGGGACTTTGATATTTCTTTCTTTTTTCGAATGTCACAATTGAACTCGAAAAATATTCCTAACTTTGGACATATGTATTTCATATGATTGATTTCCTTATTCTATTCACCATGAAAATAAATAGGAAAAATATCATCTAGGGGTTAAAACCACCCTCCCAAATCCTTAATAGGGATTAAAACATTTTACTTAACACCGGTGGGTTTATATTATAATTTTTATTTCATTAATCATTTTCTCATGACATATATTTGAAATACTCAAATTACCCCAGGTTTGAGAATGTTGAATAAATAAAGGCATTTCAATAATATCCCCACCTAAAAGGACTCTAACTAAATGAGAGGAGTGCCTCTGCTTGTTTTTGATGGGTCAAATTACTAAATTACCTTTAGTTGTTCAAATATATCAACCCTGAATAAGGATAATTTAAGCATTTTTATTAATGTTTTCTAAGTTGGTTAAATCAAATGAAACTTAAAAAGTAAATCCCCTTTAATATTAATTGGAATTTTGAATCATTTAGGGCAAGGATATCTTCTGGAAAGTTGCATGTTTTTTAATTTTTTGAAAAGTTAATTGTTTTGTTCTGGAATGTTTAAATAAGTTTTAGGTATTGTGTTTGATAACATAATATAATATATAATATAATGTATTTTATTAATGTATATTTGTATTGTATATAACATATGATATAATATTTATTATACCTTTAAGAACTTATTCAACTTTTGTTGGGAGATTAGTTTCTGAACTTTAGATGGAAAGTATAAAACAAGTGGGTAACTTTTAGAAAATCTGAAAGAGTACTTTCAGAAAAACAAACACATCCTTAATGATTTTGTAAGGGGTTTTGATCACATAAATGATTTTGTTCTAATAAAATATTAATAACACATTATTAGTTTTTATTACCATCTCCAAAATCTTTATGGCACAATGAATTTAATAAAATACAATGCGACACTAACGCAGTACCCTTATCCATACAACACATTCAACAAATGTTACCTTGGAGTGAGAGTAGGGTTCTTGTAGAGTAGGGCCTACAAGAACCCAATGGTAGCGTTGGTGATGCAGCCATGCCCCTTCGTGACTGAGCCAGAGAAGGGTCGTAGAACTCAAGAAAGAAAGAAATGGCAATGACGTAATAAAAAGAAATTATTAGGGTTATTTATTAGGATTATTTTAATAAAATTTGAAAGAATACTTTCAGAAAAACAAACACGTCCTTAAGGATTTTGTATGAGGTTTTGACGTCATAAATGATTTTGGTCTAATAAAATATTAATAACACAATATTAGTTTTTATTACTATCTCCAAAATCTTTATGGCACAATGAATTTAATAAAATACAATGCGACACTAACACAGTACCCTTATCCATACAAGTAGGGTTCATGTAGAGTAGGGCCCATAAGAACCCAGTGGTAGGGTTGGTGATGCAGCCATACCCCTTCGTGACTAGGTCAAAGAAGGGTCGCAAAACCCAAGAGGGAAGGAAAGGGCAATGACGTAATAAGGGGAAATTATTAGGGTTCTTTATTAGGATTATTTTAATTATTCTTTTGTTTAGGGAGTGTGCAGGTATAATTAGCGGGGCAACTTTAGAGTTTATATTGTGTTTATCTTGTATCGATTGGGTTAGTTTGAGGGATATAATTAGGATAAGGGTAAATTTAGAAGAGAGTTTATTTTTATCAACAACAACCAACTTGGGAGGTCTTTTTCGGGTAAAACATGAGAGGAAAAACATGGCTATCTAGAAGCCCGTGGATATGAGAGAGATAAAATACGGATACGTGTATAGAAAACTTTTTTATTAGTTATCTTATTTTAGTCTGTTTAAAGGGACATCTCCTTTCATTGTAAATCAGTCTATGAATTGAATAAAAATTAGTCCCTTGAAAGATATTGTTTTGCGGGTGGATTCCCTTGCAGACATTTAAGAGAGGGTATTTTTCACTTAAACTTCATTCTTTTTATTGTCAATTTTCTGGTTTTATTCTCTCCCTACATCAATTGGTATCAGAGCTAGGTTCCGATGGCTTCACAAGAGACACCCCTGGATGGATTGCAGGTATTGATTAGATTAGTTCAAGCCCTAGCAGAGAGAGTAGACCAATTCATGCCTATAGCTGCGAAAGTCGATGAGCTTGCGCAAAGGTTCGCTCAGCTTCAGGATGGAAGGAATTCGGAGACCGACGTTGGAACTCAAGGCAACAGAGATGAAAGATGTATGCATCTTGTTCCTAACCAACCTCGGGTGGCCCCAACTAATAACGAATTCAATGAATGAATTCTTCGGTTGTTAGAAAGAGAAAGAGAACCTAGAATAAAGATTGATATTCCAGAGTTCCATGGTCGATTGCATGCAGATGATTTTCTTGATTGGCTAAGTAAAGTAGAGAAAATGTTTGAGTACAAAGATATTGCAGATCACAAAAAAGTAAAATCAGTAGCCACAAAATTTTCTGGCCATGCATTGGTTTGATGGGATGATTTGCAACAGGATCGTCTTCGACAAAGCAAGGAAAAGATTAATTCGTGAGAAAAGATGAAGACGAAGATGCGCCGAAAATTTTTACTAGTAAATTATGCAGAAACTTTGTACCAAAGGTGTCAAAACCTCAAGCAAGGTGAAAAGTCGGTAAGTGACTATATTGAAGAGTTCTATATTTTGACATCTAGGGCAAATTTACAAGAGTATGAAGATAAAAAAATAAATCATTACTTGAATGGGCTAAATCAAGGCATTTAGAATGAATTGACCTTCAAAGATGTTTGATGCCTATACTTTGACCCTCAAAGCAGAGGAAATAGTCAATTTGGGTATTGAGAGAAATAACTCAGTGTTAACCTTTAGAAGACCACCTATAAGACATGGAAACCAAACTTCTCAAAATTTTTCAACTAGGCCAAACCCTAATATGATGAGAGGTGGTGTTAGAAGAGGGTTGGGAGCACCTAAAACACTTTGTGATAATACACAAATAATGTGTTTCAAGTGCCAACAGCCTTGACATATGGCATTCAATTGTCCCTCACGGCAACCCCTTGTCAAAGTTAATTTGGCTGAAGAAAATTATGAAGAAGTTGATGAATGATACACCGATGAAGACCAAGGTGATATTGGGACGAGCCAGTCTTATGAAGGGACTGGGCCTTTCAAAGGTGAAGTTGAGGATTTGTATGGAGATGAAGATGGTGAAGTCTTAGTTGTCCAGCGAACTATGTTATCGACCCCAATACCTAATGAGGATGAGAAGTGGCTGTGACATAATATTTTTCGAACAATTTGTACATCAGGAGGAAAGTTATGCACAGTACTAATTGATGGTGGGAGTAGTGAAAACATTTTATCTAAAGAGATGGTGGCTAAACTTCAATTGAAGGAACATAAGCACCTATGCCCATACCACATCTAGTGGTTCAAGAAAGGAGGTGAGGTACCAGTTCTTTCTCGTTGTTTAATCTTTTTTTCCATTAGTGCTAATTATAAAGATAAAGTGTGGTGTGATATAGCACCTATGGATGCATGCCACATATTACTTGGTAGACCATGGCTTTATGATCATGATATGGTATATAAAACTAGGCCAAACACTTATTCTTTTGTTAATGATGATATTAATATAATACTCTACCTTATGAAGCAACTTCCTACACCCAAATCCACTAAAGATGAGGGTTCAAAGTTGCTTAACGTTCAAAAATTAAAAGGGGACAACAAGGATATGGATGTGATTTATGTATTGGTTGCAAAAGAAAATTCTGCACCGACTGCAATTCTTAAGTCTCTTGAACCTCTACTTGATAAGTATAAAGATTTGATGCTTGAAGAATTACCTGATGGTCTTCCTCCAATGAGAAATATTCAGCATCACATTGACTTGGTGCCCAGATCTAGCCTACCAAATTTGGCCCATTATCGAATGAGCTCCATGGAACATGAGGAGTTGTACAGACAAGTTGTTGCATTCCTTAAGAAGGGATTGCTTTGAGAAAACATGTCACCATGTGCCATCCCTGCATTACTGACTCCAAAAAAAGATGGGTCATGGAGGATGTGTGTGGACAGTCGGGCAATCAACAAAAGCCCAATCAAGTACTGATTTCTCATACCTATGCTCGATGATATGTTATATATGCTTAATGGAGCCAAGGTTTCTCAAAGATTGATTTAAGGAGTGGTTACTATCAAATTTGGATTCGACCTAGAGATAAATGGAAAACCACATTCAAAACTTGAGATGGGCTATATGTGTGGCTTGTGATGCCATTCAACTTTTCTAATGTACCAAGTACATTCATGCTCATAATGACTGAAGTACTTCGTCCTTTTATTGGTAAATTTGTTGTGGTTTATTTTGATGATATCTTGGTTTTAGCACTAACCCACATGATCATCTTAACCACTTGGAACAAGATATGCTAATGAAGGAATCACTTATTGTGAATTTGAAAAAATGCTCATTTATGACAAACAATGTCGTCTTTTGGGGTATGTTGTTTCATCTAAGGGAATTAAGGTGGATCAAGAAAAAGTGAAAGCCATAGCTGAGTGGCCGGTGCCAAAGTCATTCACTGAGGTGCATTCTTTTCATGGCCTAGCGACTTTTTATCGTCGATTATCAGAAATTCCAGCACTCTAATAGCACCAGTGATTGACTGTATAAGGGCTGAAAAGTTTTCATGGAATCCTGTTGCTGAAAAGAGCTTCACTCTAATTAAACAAAAGATGATGCAAGCACTAGTACTTGCCTTACCATATTTTTCTAAGGTGTTTGAGATTGAAACTGATGCATTAAATGTTAGCATAGGGGCAGTTCTAAGTCAAGAGGGATGACCATTGGCCTTCTTTAGTGAGAAATTGAATGATGCACGTAAGAAGTATTCGGTTTATGACCTCGAGTTTTATGCAGTAGTGCAAGCCTTATGCTACTGGAGGCACTACCTGATTCATAGAGAGTTTGTTCTATATTCAGATGAAGAAGCACTCCGGTATTTGAGTT